TGAGTCACCTCTTAATTTGATTCATAGTCTATTGTCTATAACGTAATTATCATTAGATTTATATCTTCATTATGTCTTGGCGCGATTCCCTGCAAAGTGTACACCTCCTCATGATTGGTTTTCGTTCAACCGTGGGCAACCTTGAATTAAGACCAATTTCTCGCATATGCGATGAAATAAATGACATCTTATTGCAACACACAAAAAAAATCCCCAATAAAGTTGTTATCGAATGATATATATCAATTGGTAAATTGGCATGAACCCTATGCATGCATTCGATTTGCTGCGGTAGAAGCTCACAAAGAAAATAATAATTACCGTTATTACCACCGTCTAATAAAATGAATATACCGTTAACAAAGACATTATTTAATTTTATTTTATTTCTCACATTAAAATCATTAATTATTCTTTTAAATTCCTCGCATAGTTGGTACCTAATAATATATTCCTATCATTTTAACCTATTTCATCCCCATCTTTTCAACATTTTTTCACCGAAAAAATGTTAAAAATTTAAGAAAGGAAACAATATTTTCCGATAGTATCATCGCCTATTAAAACAAATGTACCGTTAACAAAGACATTGTTGCAGAAATTTCGTATGCGTTCGAGCAAAAATAGCAGGAAACGCTTAATTTAAAAAGGGGGTTGCGGCGAGAGGTACAGATGTTTTATTTATGAACTAAAAACTCATAAATTCGACACGTAACGCCGCCCTTCACATAAATACCTAAAGTTTCATGGAACAGATTAGATTGTTTAGCAGCGATAATACCAATGTTTGAATAGCGGCTAATATACATTTTTAGATAAATGATACTCTGCTCCGGCTCTTATTTTATATAATAATGCGAACAAGGAAACGCCACCTTTTATTATAAATCGCAATAGACTTTATTTCTGTTACGCACTACACATAAATACTATTATTAGTAAACCAAGGAATTGTTATGTAGCAGGAAATGCAACCTCAAAGATCCGCTCAAACATAACATTCATGTATTAAAAAATAATATATAAACAATACAATATGCAATGTATATGAGATAAGATATATTATTTTAATATATATTATGCGGTCGATACTAAAACCACATTTTACTGATTAAGATAAAATAAAACTGGTACAAAAATAATTTGTGTTGATTCAAATTTATTTTTTTGAATGTAAAAAAGTGAGGTTAAGATTGATTATATCAATAAATATAAAAAACAGCAAAAAAATTATTAACATAAATGAAGTATTATTTAATAACAAATCTTTTTTGCCCCAAAATTTTTTTCCTATCTCTTTTAGTTTTTGAGTTAACATAAATTATAATTATATATGATGTTAAAAAAAAATCAGGTTATGTTTTAATAAATAATTTTATCCATCTATTTCATTAATTAAAATAAAATAAAACTTATTAAAACAATTTTTGTCGCTTTAATATCTATTTTTAAGCTACAATTTAGAATAGTAAAAAAGTGAGGTTAAGTTCGATTATGTCAATAAATATAAAAAATGTCAAAAACTTTCTTAACATAAAAGAAGTATTATTTAATAACAAATCTTTTTTGCCCCAAAATTTTTTTCCTATCTCTTTTAGTTTTTGAGTTAACATGAATTATAATTATATATGATGTTAAAAAAAATCAGGTTATGTTTTAATAAATAATTTTATCCATCTATTTCATTAATTAAAATAAAATAAGACTTATTAAAACAATTTTTGTCGTTTCAATATCTTTTTTAAGCTACAATTTAGAAAAGTACAAAATGTGAGGTTAAATTCGATTATGTCAATAAATATAAAAAATATCAAAAAACTTTCTTAATACAAAAGAAGTACTATTTAATAACAAATTTTTTTACCCCAACATTTTTTTCCTATCTCTTTTAGTTTTTGAGTTAACATCAATTATAAACACTACATAATGTTAAAAAAAGTGAGGTTAAGTTCGATTATATTATTAAATATCAAAAAACTTTTTTAACATAAAAGAAGTATTATTTAATAACAAATCTTTTTTGCCCCAAAAATTTTTTCTTATCTCTTTTAGTTTTTGAGTTAACATGAATTATAATTATATATGATGTTAAAAAAAATCAGGTTATGTTTTAATAAATAATTCTATCCATCTATTTCATTAATTAAAATAAAATAAGACTTATTAAAACAATTTTTGTCGTTTCAATATCTTTTTTAAGCTACAATTTAGAATAGTAAAAAAGTGAGGTTAAGTTCGATTATGTCAATAAATATAAAAAATATCAAAAAACTTTCTTAACACAAAAGAAGTACTATTTAATAACAAATCTTTTTTGCCCCAACATTTGTGTCCTATCTCTTTTAGTTTTTGAGTTAACATCAATTATAAGCACTACATAATGTTAAAAAAGTGAGGTTAAGTTCGATTATATTAATAAATATCAAAAAACTTTTTTAACATAAAAGAAGTATTATTTAATAACAAATCGTTTTTGCCCCAACATTTTTTTCCTATCTCTTGTAGTTTTTGAGTTAACATGAATTATAATTATATATGATGTTAAAAAAAATCAGGTTATGTTTTAATAAATAATTTTATCCATCTATTTCATTAATTAAAATAAAACAAAACTTATTAAAACAATTTTTGTCGCTTCAATATCTTTTTTTAAACCACAATTTAGAAAAGTAAAAAAAGTGAGGTTAAGTTGGATTATGTCAATAAATATAAAAAATATCAAAAAACTTTCTTAACATAAAAGAAGTACTATTTAATAACAAATCTTTTTACCCCAACATTTTTTTCCTATCTCTTTTAGTTTTTGAGTTAACATCAATTATAAACACTACATAATGTTAAAAAAAAGTGAGGTTAAGTTCGAGTATATTAATAAATATAAAAAATATCAAAAAAACTTTCTTAACATAAAAGTAGTATTATTTAATAACAAATCTTTTTTGCCCCAAAAATTTTTTCCTATCTCTTTTAGTTTTTGAGTTAACATGAATTATAATTGTATATGATGTTAAAAAAAAATCAGGTTATGTTTTAGCAAAAAACTTTTTGATCATAAATGAAGTATTATTTAATAACAAATCTTTTGTGTCCCAAGCATTTTTTCGTATCTCTTTTAATTTTTGAGTTAACATCAATTTATCAGCACTACATAATGTTAAAAAAAAGCGAGGTTAAGTTCGATTATATTAATAAATACAAAAAATATCAAAAAACTTTCTTAACATAAAAGAAGTATTATTTAATAGCAAATCTTTTTTGCCCCAACAATTTTTTCTTATCTCTTTTAGTTTTTGAGTTAACATGAATTATTATTATATATGATGTTCAATTTTCTATCAATTACAATAAAATTAAAAAAATTGCGTATATTACACTATAAGAAATAATCGAGAACACTTGTAAAAGTGCATTATTTTCTCGGTATCTTACACACTCATATACAAGGTCTACAACCGCTGGTTGCTATGTTTGATTTATGGTAGTTACCTTGAAGTGACAATTCGTAAAACACCCACTATTGCAACTATGCCAGACATTCACATTCACATACGATTGTGTGAGTCGAACAAGAATGAAAAACGCCAAAAATATTTCAACGATTAGCAGTGTATGTTTGTATTAGAAGGATTGAGTCAAAATATTTGGAGGTTCGGTATCATTTTGAGGACGGAGTAATAATGTCGAACGTCCAAACAAACTTGTGCGTGCAGGTTCGACAGAATCCAGGTGGAGGTCGTCACTTTGCCAGATTGGTACAGCGACGTTCTTGTGTAAATACGGCACTATTAATCAAATAAGTTGATAAACGCGTGCGATAATATAATCTACATATGTGAAATGTGAACAATCCGATTGCGTTTGGTTCAATTTTATTCAGATTCATTAATCATTTTCGAAAATTTTCCACAAAAAAAAATCTTTAAATATTTTAAATTCCATTTTAAAACAAAGAATGAATAAAATACAATAGCCTTTGTGTAAAGAAAGTTTCTTTTTTTGTTTTTCAATTTCGTCCCGAAATAAATCATTCAGAAATACGAAAAATAGAAGTAAAATAAACAAAAATCGAAATCAAAATAGTAACAGAATTAAATAAAGGATAATATAACGAAATTTTTCTCACATTATTAACTACGATAGTTAACCGTTAAAACCACAAGTTCAATTAATAATTTTTATAAAGAATAAGACCATATCTACCAATTCTTTAAGTCAGTTTTGATTTAAAACGGTTTTTTTATGTGTTGGGATTAATTTCACGATTTAAAAGATTTAATCTGGGAAAATAATCGAAAAAGAAATCTGGGTCTATTTCGTGGTATTTTAAACGAAATATCGTAATTCGATTTAATGTTGGTATAAGGTTAATTAATTGGGACCTCGTTTCGGTTTGGAGTATTTATTTTTTAAACAAGCCGGTGAAATATGGGTGGTTTGAATGTTTAGAGTGTTGCGTAAACAATGCTAAACGTTCGCGTAAAAAATCTATCGTCACAAGACAATTTTCGATATTCTATTTCGGGAGTTTTGTAAACATTTTGGATACACTATTTTGTGGCGAAATTTGTGATATATAAAGTTTAAGTAGTAAAAGTAAGGAGAATCGTGCCGCTGTTTGAAATAAACCCGTTCACACGAAAAATAATGTACCAAGATGGCAGGTCTATTTAAAGACTTCCATGCTAATTTTACATTAGTTTCCGATTGGAAAACGGTCGGCGTGCGTCCACAGCCGGTTGATCCGAAAAAGGAAGAACTAACGGCACGATTTTCCTCACATTTAATGCGGCCAAAACAAATGGGGGCAAAAAAGGGTTTGGCGCGCCAACCGAGGAATTCATTGTAAAGCCGTTTGGTGTTTTTTTCCCGTATGCGCTGAGCCGTTTGGCCGACGGACGCTTGTACTTGGTCCGCGGACGAGAATTCTTCGGAGATGTTCAGCACCGCGAAGCGGCGTCGGAATAAATCGCGGGGGTTTTCGATAGGCCCGGGCCACTTACATGCTATTCGTGGTGTTCCAGTGCACGTGGAACGACTTCGAGCACGTCGATTCGGTGCAGAGCAGAACGGTCTCCAGGCAAACCAAGAACACAACAGTTAAACAGGAAGCTTTGAAGCCGGGGTACGCAACTCTACACTTTTTAACGACCGCCATCGCACTAATAAACACAGCAAAAAGGACCGATTTACGAAGAAACCGCACTTGGAGGAATGTACGCAAAACGGACCACTTTAAGCATCGTTCAAAACTGACGATCGCTTTCCGTACACGCCGAGGTCCCTGTTGACATTTCGGCGAGAACGAGCGCCTCTCTGTTCCTCGAAGCGGCACGTCCGACCTCTTCAGCAACCGAACGCGATCTGTGTTAAAACCCTTGTGGTGCGCCGTAAACCAGCGCGGTCCAACCCGCTCCTCTCCCAACTCCAACAACTCGCCGGACTCAGGCACAAGGCAGGTGATGGCTTCGCCTGCAGGTAGAATGAACCGGCGAAACCTTTAAGCCCGGCGCACACTCACACACTCAACACACTCGGACCTCCTCAGACCTCGTTCAACTTCGTCCAACGTCCTGTCCAGTTCTACCTTCTTCTACGCCCTTTCTGCGAGACCCGCGAGAGGTTACATTCCCACCAAACCAAAAAATTTACTCCCATCACTAACTTATCACTTACTATACTACCTTTCATATCATTACATACTTATTTTATTATTACATTCCAATCATATCATCTAACCATTTCAATTATATATTATTAATTAATATATATATCTTGACGTGTATATTCGTTTTCTCTTAATGATCTTAAGTATTAAGTATACAATAGGCTTAAAAATGTATATATAAAGAATTTAGTTTAAATGTTAAACGCTCTCGATTGCAGCGCCTCGGCCGCAAGCGACCTTGGCTTCGATATATAATGTAACCCGCGAGAGATTACATTCCCACCAAACCAAAAAGTTTACTCTCTTTTATATTATTACATACTTATTTTATTATTACATTCCAATCATATCATCTAACCATTTCAATTATATATTATTAATTAATATGTATATGTTGACGTGTATACTCGTTTTATCTTAATGATATTAAGTATTAAGTATACAATAGCCTTAAAAACTGGATATATAAAGAATTTAGTTTAAATGTTAAACGGTCTCGATTGCAGCGCCTCGGTCGCAAGCGACCTTGACTTCGATATATAATATAACCCGCGAGAGTTTACATTCCCATCAAACCAAAAAGTTTACTCCCATCACTTACTATACTACCTTTTATATCATTACATACTTATTTTATTATTACATTCCAATCATATCATCTAACCATTTCAATTATATATTATTAATTAATATATATGTTGACGTGTATATTCGTTTTATCTTAATGATATTAAGTATTAAGTATACAATAGGTTTAAAAAATGGATATATAAAGAATTTAGTTTAAATCTTAAACGGTCTCGATTGCAACGCCTCGGCCGCAAGCGACCTTGGCTTCGATATATAATGTAACCCGCGAGAGTTTACATTCCCACCAAACCAAAAAGTTTACTCTCTTTTATATTATTACATACTTATTTTATCATTATATTATATATTATCATCGGTATTCTATACAATACCTAGCCAGTTTATAGAATACCTAAAACGTTTAGGTAATATATGAAATATTATTAATTTTATACTTTGCCTAGATATTCTATAAAACACCGAATGCGAAGCCGGCAATGTGTGTAAAAGGCGAGAACAGTGAAGAAGAAAGATATGGCAGAAGGCTATGGTTCTAAAGTTGTTTGCCCATTATGCTTAAAACACACCAGTTCCAAAGATAATTTAACAGAGCAAGCTCAGAAAATGCTTAATAAATCTGGAAAAAAAATTTCCCATGTGCCATTGGGTACCACTGTAAGAATCCCTGTTCCGGAAGTCGACAGAGGTCGTGGTGACTAGCTGTAGTCTTACAAAAAACGGATGACGAACTTTATAAAATAGGAGCAAAGCAAGGTGTTGTAAAGAATTTGTATTTAAGACAGCAGTTTACAGTTTCTGAGATTCTGAGAGGCCAGTAGATTTTTAGTTTTTACAGAATTATTTTGTTTCCAAAGTTTTAATATCTATTACTTCATTTTGTACAATAACTTATAGATTATAAAAAAGTTTATTATGAGTAAAAATTGATAAATACAGACCAAAATCTATTTATTTTACACATTGCCGGTCGACCAACAGGTACTCTATGTAATCCATAAGAATTGTATGCATTACCTAGGTAAAATATCTAAGTTATAATAATCTTCATAATATTTCATACATTGCATAGACACCCCAGGTATTTTATACATTACCTAGGCATTGTATAGAGTACCTGAATTATACAAATTGACGGTAACATATATAAATTTATATATATATATATAGGTTGACGTGATACTCATTTTATCTTAATGATATTAAGTATACAATAGGCTTAAAAATTGGATATATAAAGAATTTAGTTTAAATGTTAAACGGTCTCGATTGCAGCGCCTCGGCCGCAAGCGACCTTGATTTCGATATATAATGGTACCCGCGAGAGGTTCCATTCCCACCAAAAAAATTACTCCCATCACTAACTTATCACTTATCACAATAACTTCGCCATTTGTGTTTTTAAAGAAAAATGTTTCAAATAAAAAATTATTTATTAATTATGGCGCATTTTTTGGCGATACTTGCTTGTTTACATTGTTCTTTGTTTCGTTGCTATGGCAACCAACATTGTTATTTTAAACGGGATGCATATGTTTTTTTGCACACTTTAACAGAGGATAAATCCCTCTACGCGATGAACATATCAAATCATATGAAAATATTTAATCAGCAAATTACAATCAAAGTAGGCGCCGAAATAACGCGGTTGACAGCTTTACAGTATCCAAAAAATTAAAAAAAAATCCTTAACACCGGAAGTGTTAAAAACCTTCCAAAAAGTTGATGTCCGAAGAGAGTTACCAATAACCATACATCATTAATTATTCATAATTGTTGAAACTGTAATTTTTTTGACATTTAAAGCTATCAACGGCGTTATTTCAGCGCCTACTTTGGTTGTAATTAGCTGATTTAAGACTTTCAAAAAATGCATTTTTTCTTATACAACCATATGGTTTGATATGTTCATCGCATGGAGGGACTTATCCTCTATCAAAGTATGTAAAAAAATATATGCATCCTATTTAAAATAACAATGTTGGTTGCTATAGCAACGAAACAAAAAACAATACAAACAAGCAAATACCGCCAAAAAATGCGCCATGATTAATAAAGAAACTTGTATTTGAAACATTTTTCTTTAAAACCACAAATGGCGAAGTTATTGGCTATATTCCAGACATTTGACACACCCTGTATATATACAGGGTGATTTGTTAGCTCACCATCAAACTTTGACATATGATAGCTAATCCAATTACCAAATAAAAATGTTAATGAACACTTTAAAGTTTTTTTTTTTAGTGTTATTATTGAAAACGGAACCCAAGATTTTTATATTTAATACGAAAACGGTGATTTTTATCAATATTCTCTGATAGTGATAAAAGTTGCTAAACTAAATTTACTATCAGAAACTACAAAAATAAATGTAGGGTTATGATAGAATAAAAAAGTTCTGAGCAAACAAAGTCTAGGAACAACTCAAAAATTGCCTGATGATTTTACGTGATATTAATTTACATTGTACCAAATTTCAACACTTTACCATAAATAGTGTTAACTATAAACCTAACTTTGATGGACTTTTACAGATTATTTTTTACGTAAATCGTCATCATTTTCACTCTATATATATACTCCATATATATAAATTTATATATATACGTTGACGTGTATACACGTTTTATCTTAATGATATTAAGTATACAATAGCCTTAAAAACGGGATATATAAAGAGTTTAGTTTAAATGTTAAACGGTCTCGATTGCAGCTCCTCGGTCTCAAGCGACCTTCGATATTAATATAATAGCTTGCGACCGAGGCAAAATATCTCGAAGATATTAAGTGTTAGATACACTCAACTATTAATATCACGTTATCGAAGATAAATAATGTTATAAAATAATTTGAATAAAAAAATTGAGTAATAAATGTAATGTGATGAAAAAAGAAAACTGAATAGACATTAATTTTGTAGTTAAGTAGAAACATTTGATGGATCGACAAGTAAGAACACGACTTAGGTTACCGCGAATCTTACAGGTGTATTTAGATCAATCTGACGCCAGGAACATTATTAGCGCTGACTTATTTACGGCATCTGTTAACGACGCCCGCGTCGGCTTGCGCGAGCACGTCCGCGCAAACAAGGCCGTTTCTCTCTTCGTATAGAGATCTTCAAAAGGCCAGGTCATTTAAGTCCAACGCCGAATTTAAGCCTTAATAATTAGATACTAACGTCAGTCTACAAATTGAAAAGATATAATTCTACTGAAAAAAAAAAAAAGAGTTGGATATCTCCTTTAATAGACCGTAACAATTGATCGATTCTCGAATAGAGTCCACCATTTACACGGCATATCAAAACCCAATAGGTTACAAATTAATTAACGACGGTCGTTTTTTGTGTGCGGAACGAGATGTGCATTCAATTGTAACAATGTAAACTAATTTGGTGCAGCCGCGAGCAAAGTTTAAGAGCGTAAATTAGCTAAATAATCTCGGAATTTTTCATGCCATACGTTCCGACACTCATTAGCGCGATATTTAGAATGCAATTAGCGTATTAGAGGAGATATTGTGAAACGTATGGGGGCCTAGATTGGTTTTAGATTATGCCGCGATTTATCATAAGGTGATCATGTTCTCGTTTAGATTCTATTGAATATTCTTTTTTTAAGAATTGTAAAGTCGAATTTAAATTTTTTTTTTTGAAGAATTCTTATAGTGAAATATAGATAATACATATGACATAGTGGGTAGGTAAAAATATCTAATTGAAAATTACAAGATTAGGAAGCAAGCGCACGTCGCGTAATAAAATAAAATGAAGTTATCATTATTTTATGCGGCGCTTCTAATATTTTACAAACATATTTTACGTTTGTTATTACAAGTAAATAACATTAAGAGAATTTATGCCTTGTAATTGTGTATTCCTTTTATAGTCGATTGTTAGTATCGGTTGGAATTTTAAAGTTTCTTGCTGTAAGCATAAGCGCAAATTTTTAACTGTCCGCGACTGCCAGTCTGACGGTGGTTTAATGTACAATTGGAAATGGGTAAACTTTATGGGCTGACGCTCAAAGGAAACAATTCAAACTTGCGTTGATTGCCGCGCAAATATAAACACAGTAATGTCCTACATATACCCGCCGTTTATGACGGCTCGATTCTATTCCCACAACGCCGTTCTTCTAACGTCTAATCTTGCCTAACACATGCTATTCCACACCAATTACAAACATAAAAAAACCTCAACAACTCCAATTGGAATTGGAATTTTTTCTATAGGCCTT